TGTGTACCTTTGTACTTGTTAGAGATCCAAAGAAGGAAAGAAATTGGAGTCAAACATCAGCCTATTGGTAACAGTAGAGCAAAAACTTTTAATTAACCTGCCAAGGACTCCCTTCAGTAGTCTGTGAAAATCCCAAGGGGTTTAATAATGATGCAATCGGTAGGATCGTCACTGAGCCCTGGAGGAATTCGAATATGTATACCCAGGTTCACCAGGGCGTTGAAGTAACAGGTGGCAGAAAATAAGTCATGTAATAAGTGTGAACCAGAAAATCAAGTTGACGCTTGCGAACATCACTCAAAAACAACTGGAAATGTGAATATAATAGGTAAGAGCAGGTTCATTGCACTTCCATTTTATCCTCTATCTGTGATATTAATGTTATCTTTCATAGTTCTCAGTTTGTAACCCTGCGATAACCTCATAAGATTAATGTCAGGCATCCACAGGCACCTGTCGCTTGACGAGCCTGCCTTGCGTCGGTTGTAAACCTGCAGTCACCGCTACCTGCTTCATTGTTCGCAGCACGCGGAATAACGCGGCTGCGACAAATTCACTCCCGGCGGTTCCAGGGCTGGTCTTAGGGTGCATTGCTGTTCCTGCTGCCAAAGAACACCAAAGGGCTCGGCGACCCTCGTGTGCAAAGACTGCTTTGAAGGGCCTCGAGTTTGCAAAGGTATCCACTGGGCTTCCCGGCGATGCCACACGTTCGGGAGTTTCTACGCGGTTGCCGCGTCTCCCGCAACGACCCCGCCGCGTTCATAACGGCGCGGCGCGGCGTGGCGCTGCGCGTCGCCGCCAGAAGAAAGTGGGAGGTGCGCTGGCGCGCTGTGTGCTTACAATTAGTGAGGGGGAGGCGCGCGCGGTAACGACACACTGGCACTCGAGCGACGCTCGCCCCCGGCGCGCAGCACCCGTCGAGGGCCCCGCCCACGCCCCACCCACGCCCCCACGCCCTCACGGCCCCTTCGCTTTGCGCGCGCCTGCGTCACGCCCTCCCCTTCACCCCCCTGCGCTCTTCCTCTCCGCATTCTCCAAACACTCCCCTTTCCTCACGTTTTAGCGGCGTCTTCGTCTCCGTATTCGCTCACACCCCCATCGTGCGTCCCGGGCACCCTCCCTCCCGCCTTTGCAGCGTCATCATATCAATGATCACCTACAGCCTCCCCTCTCAAACGCCCACCTCGCGGTCCATTGCGTTGTTCTTGCTCGTGGTTTTAGCATCATCCAATCAATCCATACTACGTCCATATTCCCTCACGCCCTCCCAATCGAACATGTCCCCTCCCCGGTTCTACGTGTTATTTTCGCTTCCGCTTTCGTATCGTTGGTTTTCCATTTTCATCCTTGCCCTCAGCCTGGAATTTACCCTTGCCCTTCACCCGAACCCCTCGCTCACGGGTCGTCTTAGCTGCCCCCTTCGCACCATGTGTGGCCTTTCACATCCTCTTTGCTTTGCTCTCACCCACACCCACACCCACGCTCTCGTCAACAATCTCATCCCTACTCGTCATCGCTTTCGCTCTCATTATCGTCCAAGCATTCACCCTCGTGTTGACCCTCGCTCTCACCTCCCTCTAGCCATCGCCTTCCCCCACTCATAGATTGGGGTATTGTTCTCGCCGTTGCTTTAACTTCAGTCCTGTTTCCTTAGTTACGATTACATGCACTTCGTATGTCAGTGCTTTCAGGACATAGTTTGAGGATCGGTTTTGCGATTCGTTTTACTCAATTTACGTAGATCCTTGCCTCTACCTTTTTCAAAACTTCATCAAACTATTTTTCCTTCAAGACTCTCTGTACTGTTCCTGCCCTCGCCTTTGTTTTGTCTTGTGCTTCCGTCATTTCCTTTCCTCTTTCTAATACTTCACGTACTACCTCTCTTACTGTTTTCTTACCGCCACCCTATCACGTTCATTTTTCTACTGCAAATACTCCTCCGCCCACACATCTGTCATTGCGTTTGCCTCCGATTTCATAATAGTGTTACCACCGACGTCGTGTTCGCGTTCGTGTTGGCGACCGCCACATCTTCCCACTTCGTCTCCGACGCCATCTCCGCCCCCGATTCCTCCGCCAACTTCCCCATACGTCATAGGCACCATCACTACCACCACCACTAACAACAACACCGCCGCCAACAACAACACCGCCGCCGACGCCGTCGTCTGTAACCACTACCACCACGTCCGTTTCCACCTCCACTCCAGCCGCGTCCGCTTCCTCCTCCACTTCAACCTCCCTCTCCCTCCTCCCTTACTGCCTCCATCTATGGCTCTCTACCCTTGCCATAGCCATTGCCACCCCCCCCCACTTCCGTCACCGTCCCCGGCCGCGGGCGTAGCAGGGCAGCTCGAAATAAAAGCACAACCTACAAGCGCCCCGCAGTCGGCTGGAGCGAAAATCGATGACAGCACAGTGCGTGCGCGAATAGCCTGCTTGCTTCCCACACAGCCCCCGAGTTGCAACGAGAGCAGGACTTGCGGAAGAGACTAATTAATTGGACAGACTGGAGAGTCGTGAATGGTGGAGGTACGCTGTTCTCATGCGGCTTTTCGTGGTTCCGTCGACGCCTGCACGCCGCGGTAACGTGAAGGAAACATGCCGTCTGCCAATGATCTCACCAACTTTTCTCTTCACGTAAGGGTCAGTATGTAGACAACGCACTCAAAAGTTCCCTCGTTTTTTCAACTGACAGCAAGGCACCAAATGCTTGTGCCTCAGGAATTATCTCTCGTGTGCAGTTATTGATCCAGATGGATATTTTTGTTGAAATTACACGAATTAGAATATAATTTTAAATCTTTATAAACTGATTTGGAAACAGTTGTAGTTCAGTGTTCGTTCCATTCATTATTCGTTTAGGAGCATCGTATTAGTAAGGATCTTTATGATTTATCAGTTTGTAGTAGAGACAAAACTAAATGCAATAGGTTGATAGTATTCCGTTTACGCACATTTTCCTATGGGACAAATATATGATTTAATGTTCACGTCCTTGAAGACGAGCTGAATGTTTCCTTGTAATTCCTTTATTCCCAAGACAGTCCTGGAAGTAAGAAGACCAAGTCGTGATCTTTTGCGAAGGTGTGTATGGTTGGAAAACCGAAGGTTTTATTTTCGTTTCACCACAGAGCTCATTTGGCTTCAAGCCTTGCATGAAAATGCCCAAGATCCGGAGTGTACGCCACTTTCATCGCTATGCTACCAACGCTGTGAAGATTGGAGCAGCGCAATGCAGTGAAGTGTTGCATGCAACTGAGGAGTAGTCCTATCCATACGGTTTTTTTTCAGACGACCTAAAAGAAGGCCATGACAAGCCACTTCTCCTGTCTGTTACAGACACTAATATGGACCGTGAGCGTGCTTCACACAACGCTAGACACACAACAGTATCAATGGGAGATCGATCTCAGCGTTGTTATTTTCCTATATCTTTTTAAGGAGTGATAGTATCATATTTAAGAAATTTTACTATTGACGCCTTTTTAACAGTTGGTGTTGGTTTCGTCTTTCAACTCTTATAGAATATTTAGAAAAAAAACTTATCCGTCGCCATACGTAATCGTTTTTTGAAATCTCTAGATTGCGGTTCAGATTGTGTAGAAACTGGAATCTCCACAGCATATGTCCGAAAACGTACTATTTTTTACAAAGAAGATCTATAAACTAAGACTTCAAACGAAGCCAAAAAAGTAAGTAACGTTTCAGAAGAAAGGGGGAAGAAGCAAATCGAAAGATTTCTGGAAACAGAACAAAAAGAAACAAAAGAAACGAAAAATTCCAAAATTTACATTTTTTCCTGTGGTTCACAGCAAAATGTTTCGAAAATGAGAAAGGAAGAAGAAAGAAAAAGAATGAAGGGGTCACGACAGAAATTGTAGTGCTGAGGTAGAGCTTGATTCGTGTTTGACGTACGATATCCTATACACTTCTCCACTGGAATAAATCTGTTCTCCATACATCTCCTGTACATATTTCTTCAGAGCCGGCATTCTGACGCCATGCTTTGAGACGCTGTGGTATTTCCATGACCTCAATAGACCCTCTCTTTACTGCGTGAGCTGTGGGTGTTCCACTTCTGGACACTGCACAGCACTCCGCTCCGGCTGACATCTTCTGTCGTCTTGCTGCCCCAACATCGTGACATGGCCACATATTCGGTTATCTTACTGACACCGTACTAATTTTATTTAAATGTGATAAAATAATTGACACAAAAAATGCAGTTTATCCAATTTTGTGTAAAATTGGATGCAAAAATGAAAACATTTTTTCGTACCTAATTAAATTTGCATAAAAACGTTTCATTTAATTACGGAAAGTCGGGTTAGATTTGTGCATGAACATGGCGCGCCGTAGCGCCATAGTGGTGTACTTAGTGGTGCATGGTTGTACTTGGGGTACAAGTGAATTTGCATACTGTACCGCCTACTCCATATCTTTCCATTCAGTCTTTGTGGACTCTCTCCACAATACAACTTCCATATTAAGTTTTGTAATCTATGTCATCCCAGACATCTCTGCAGTTTCTATTAAATAGTCTCCCTTCTTACCTTCTGTTTCTGTCATTCTTGTATATTTTACACGTCAGAAAGGCACGGGTAACGATTTTTACCGTCACGTATTATCCTCGCCCTCATTACGTTGGATATATTTAACAATTTTTGTAATAAAAATTGGATTAGACGCTCTATTTAGAACGTGAGGGGCATAGACAATGAAACATTTTAACTCCCAATATTTTTATTACATGTAACACAGCGCTGCACAGTTAGCACATTGTGCTGAGCGAAATGGATGTTAAGGCGTTTCAGGGGCAGACATGTAAAAACGAGTGGTATTATTTTCTAAAATTTGGAAATATTTAATAGCAATTTATCTCCGGCGCAATTTATCCTACTGTTTTGATAAAAGTAATAAGCTTCTGCATACGACAGGTCACTTGAAATCCAATACGCTTACACTGCGGACTTAAAAAGATTTCCGCTTTTGTTGATTTATTGAACGGTTTGACAGCTTTTCGTCTCCTCCATTGGTTTGACCCTTCCCTGAAAAATATTGAAAAATAATGTATTAAAAAATCGGTCATTGATGTAGATGTACTTCCTTGTTAGTGCAGATTTTGACATAAGTGAGACCTAGCCTACGTAATGAATTGTCTCGATTATTTGCAAAATGTCTCATTTACAATCTTTGCGGGAATGAGTTAGTTTTACTATTCGACTTAGTATATGCTTTAATCATTCTTTTATTTAAAAATTTGGATTGCATCAGTTGCCCCTGCGGTTTCCGTCGTGTCTTTGACATTCACCGTATGATTCACATTCGTACCTATATCTAAATAGGCTTTCACGAAAACATGGTACACGTTGTGCCTGAGTGGGAGATCTAAGGATTCGAGTCAGCGGTGGTTGATTTACGATACCAGCTAGATAGCTGGGTCGAGTTGAGACGCTCGACAGAGATGAATTTTAGCGGCAGGCTGCTCTAGGATTTCTCGTGGTATCTCCGATCCATGAATGTCGGAGCAGTACCCTAATAAACGAGCAACGGACATCGTACGGATTGTCATTCCTCATTCTTGCTCCGTGCTGTGCCCTTACCGACGTACAAATACATAATTCCATGTACTACACCATCCGGAGACAAGTCAGAAGCTTAGTGCTTTACCTCGGTTAAGATACTGCCTCGCTGGGGGAGATACGAGAGAAACTTTTCTCAATGCGAGCAATAGGTCAGCGGAGGTTCTCGAGCCCCACAAGTGGAGTAACACCGCGCCGTAACATGCACTACACTCGCGGTGACCAAACGTAGAACACGAGTTAATCGCTCTCGTTGAAGCCTCCATTGGCTGCATTGCTTCTGGAGCCTCCCTCGGCAATCTGTTCGGGTGGCCTCCATCGCGTTGACTTGCAGCGCCTCCGTCGCCCGGGTCACCTCCGCCTCCGCCTCCGCCTCCACATCCTCCGCTGCCGGCGCTCCCCTTCTCCGCCGGGGGCAGCGGCAGCGACGGCGGCGGCAGAGGCGGCCGACCGCCGTAATGAAAACCTTGTTAAAACTTTCAGCCATATATCCCGACAGCGGCGGAGCCGTCCAGGACAGGCCCGCGTGAGATGGATAAGCGGGGACAATGGAAGGGGCGGCGGAGGCGGCGGCGGCGGCGGCGAAGTGGGCCGCTCCGTGCGCCCCCAAGAGCGAGGAGTGAGGACCGAGGAGCGAGGACGTTCGGGAGGACGGCGGACTTTGATGCAGGCGAGCACTCGCTGCTATACGCCAGAAGTCTGCCGTAAGTAGGTCTGCGTGGCGTGACGTGACGGCGCACCAGTCGCCGTGGCGCGCCCCCTCGCGCCTCTTCAACGCACTTGCGTAGCGGCGCCACACTCAAATAATACGCGGGACTGTGAAATAGTATAAAGTAGGCATATTGTAGTGGGACACCTGCACGCTCCGTGTAATGCTCAAATTAACCATGTAATCATGGCATGTGGTTTCAAGAAGACACTTTTGACAAGTGGATATTACCCTGCACTCCCGTAGTGTCATGGATATGTATGTTGGGCTATATTACTGCAAATTTGTAATCTTTATTCCTTGAAATTCAGTTAGAGATTTACTATTCCCTATTACGTCGCAATAAATTATTCAACTTACAATTTACTTGACTTACAATTTGAAGATGCTCTTAAATGCATGAAAAAGTATAATACAATCTACTGTGGCTATACTAATAAATATTTACCTGGTTCTATTGCATTTCAACCAAAAACGTCAGTGAAATTAATTTGACCAAGAGCAATATAAGGGGAAAAGGTGTCAACAAATTTGAAAATTGAATAAGGTAAAGAAGAAAAATGAATAGGTTAATGCAATTTAAGACCAAGAAAATCATGAAAATAGTATATTACGTTACACAACTGACATAAAGTCAATCACATTTTTTAAATCATAAACATACATTTTATGATGATAGTTATTAAAGTGAACATGAAACATTCATTCCACAATTTAAACTACAATGTTTTATTTATGGAACATCCTTACGATTTGTGATGGAGACTACCGTAGTTGTTATTATGATTAATGTACTTTTTCTGCAGTTTCTCTAACACGTTTGGATAACGTGTGAATAGACTAATTGATTTAATGTAGTTTTGTTAGTAATTATCGGTTTACAAAATTGTATTCCGCCAGTCCTTGCACGTTTTGCGACCAATACGCATTATTTATTTTACGCGTGTTTTACTTTAATACCTATTTCGTATAATTCAATATATTTCAGTAATATTGTTATTCATGCTGTTTTTAAGTCTTCCTAAGAACTTACTGGCATTTGTTCTTGCCTTTTTTTGCAATGAAGGGAAAACGCCAATTCTGATGGCTTCTAGGTTTGTGCTATATTAGATATTCTACAAGACAAGTTCACACTGGTTCATATGTAATAGATATTGTATATTAAAAAGCTAGTAATAGTACAATTCATACAGTACACAAGAAATGCAATGCAAGAGAATGAAAATGTAAAGAAGCGAACCATGTATGATAGGGGACCTTAAAATATTTAAAGAGTTTAGCAGGGACGATAGCACCACTGAAGAAAATATATTACTTGTTTAAAACGTATCCCAATATCAATACATTGAACTTTCCAGTAGAACCTCGAAGGGCATTCACATGTGTTAAAGAGCATTCCGTGCCGCTCCACACCCTCCACTTCTCCTTTCCACGTTACTGCGAATCCTTGTCAAAAAGTTCCATCCGCGAATGAAAGCCGTATAGCTCTGGTCCAAGCAATGACGTCTGACGTCTGCGGGGGCGTCGGTATTGGCAGCGGCTGGTGGCAGCGGCAGCCAAGGACAGAGCGAAGGACGGAGTGTGGGGGGGGGCGGAAGGGGAAGGGGGCGAGTGGGGCAATATGGCGCTGCGTTTTACGCCTCGTGTTGTTTGGAGCCTTCTCCTCGCGGCCCCGCTCCGTCCCGCCCCGCCCCGCGCCCACGCCGTTCAACTGACGCCACGAGGGCGGCGGCGTATTGTATATTACACCCCCACCCTGGGCTTTCGCGCTCCTCTTCCTGCCGTTGCCGTTTCAGCAGGCGCCGCGCCCCCTCCCTCCCCTAGGCCGCCAGCCGGCTGCACCGCCCATCGTTTCAATTGCCACCGTTTCCGTATTACTCAGAGACAGCCCTCGGGGCGTCTTTGAGAGGGAGGTCCTAGGGTTCGAGCCTGGACGGTGGCAGATGTTCGATATTACCTACATAGCTTGTTGAATTCAACCTGTGGATGACAATTGTAGCGCCAGTCTGCTCTGCGTTGCGTTGTTGGCGTTGTTTCTTAGACAAATACTAGAAAAATAGAATAAGATGAGTCCTAACTAATCGACTGCTGAACACGCGCGATCTTTTGTACCTTATTCTTGTTACCACTTCCTCTCGCCTCCTTTGGAATCCTCTTTTTATTTTTGCAACGAGCCAACCAGAGATGAGCTAGTTACAGCCTTTACTCTCCGTTTTCGTCGCCTTCTTCTGCTCTACTTAGCGGCCAGACACAAATTTAAGGTATGATAAGATGACCATCAATGGTGACGATCTTCGGATTGCGCAGCGTCTGTTGCTTCCGCATATTTGACTGATGGTCTCCATTTAGTCTCCTAAACCAAGCTGGTCGCCGTTTATCCGTTCCCGTCCTTCCTTCTCTCCTCCCTCTCTCCATTTCTGGGGTTTTACCATTTTTTCTCTCCCACGCTGCTCTGCTATATCGCGTTGCAATCCTCGTGCTGCCATTCTCTCCTGGCCGCGTTGCTCTAGCGTGTTCCTGTCTAATCTACCGCTGTCTCTTTTTCTCTCCTCATTCACTCACTTTCTCCCCATCGTGCATGTGTTCCCGTTGTCTCCTGATCTGGTTCCTCTGTCTCATTTCGGCCCAAATCATCTGCTGCCTTAAGTAGCCGTTACCTCGTCATGATGCGTCTCATTCCACACCGTGTTGCTTTTGCCAACACCTCCGCGACCTTCTCTACTCCTGCCCTCGTAGTTTCAGCTACTTTGCTCTGAGTTCCCGCGATGTTTCGTCAGCTATCGAAATATTTCATTGTTAATAATTCGGCGATTTCTCTTTTCTCTTCCACATATTAAAATATCTGCGTTCATATTTCTGCTTCCCCCAGCCGTCAAGCTGCGACGACCTCCTTCTACGGGCGAACTCGGAAACGTCACAACGCCGTGGCTTCGCTCTCCGACCTTTTGAACCTTTTTCTTCTCGGCCCACATGTGTCTTTCTCTCTTTGACAACTTTGGCTCATAAAGTATTTTGTTTCTAGTCTAAAATTATCGCTTAACTTCAGTAACTGAATACTTCGAAATGAACAAGTTCATACATTTGTAGCCATGCGAAATCTTATGTAATATATATTTTTAAAGCAATAAAAACTCTAGCAAAGATAAAACTTGTATGAGTGTAATAGTAGAGCGGATTTAAATGTAATAAATTTTTTCTTTGATACCAAATTGTGGAGTACATCAAAATTTATGGTGTCAATATAACTTATATCTTCCTTATTATAGTAGGAGTAAATAAATTAATTAAATAAATAAATTTTGCATTACAATTTCTGAAAGAGATTATTTCATAACTATAATAGATAGTAATATTCTAAAGATATTTTCATAGATATAGATTCATGAAATTATTCTAGTATCATAAAAAATGCTTTAGTGTATGTTATATGTAATTATAAGCTTAGACCAATAAAGATCAGACAGTTATTTTTTAAGGTGTTAGTTATTCATACATGCCATTCATTATAGAATTACAGTTCGAAAAAAATAATTTCATGTCTTCCTGAAATAAAACATATTTCCGAAAAAATTAAAATATTAGTATAAATTCATGCCCTGGCGTGTTGATTCGTTTTTTTAATATTAATATTTGCATAAAATGATAATACGGTTAGTAGTCCGTAGGTTCCGCTTTTTCTGGGTCAGAAACCTCAACTACCAGGTCAGGGATTAAATTTTTAAAATTTTATCTGTAATGTAATTCATCTGAACAAGAA